CTGGGAGGGCTCGTGGCTGTTTGATTCAATCCCAGCCAGCGGGAACGGGCGCGCATCTGCCCCGCTGAGGAGCCGTGCGGCATATTTCGGCTCCTTCGGATGCCATGTCCCTTAGTTCAGAGTTTCCAGATGAAAGCTCCGCAGTTACAGGCACTGCCGGAATCCACCTCCCACAGTGGGTCCCTCTGCACGATCCGGGTTGGGGGGTCCCTGTGGGCCGGGGGTGTCTCCAGCCAGTCTTCTCCTTAGCCGGACTAATGGCTTCTCCTTTTCCTCTCTTTGCAGCTGTTTGCAGACAAGGTGCCCAAGACAGCAGGTTGGTAAAGCAGTGCTGCCCACGCTGCGGCTGCACGAAGCCCGATGCTCTCCCGAACTGGGCAGAACAAGCCGTTGATGGTGGTTTTGTTCTTATTTTGCAGAAAACTTCCGTGCCCTGAGCACTGGCGAGAAGGGATTTGGCTACAAGGGGTCCTGCTTCCACAGAATCATTCCTGGGTTTATGTGCCAGGTGCGTGGTGGTCCTGCTGCAGCAGGGAGGTGGGTGGGTGAGGAGATCCGGTGCTTATGTGGGCTGGCAGATTTGGGGTGGGAAGGCAGCTCTGCCTGCAGCCCGTGCAGGGCCACTGTGCCTGGTTCAAGAGTCTTCTGTGCCGGTGACATGAAACACTGCGTCTTCGCAGGGCGGTGACTTCACACGCCACAACGGCACTGGCGGCAAATCCATCTATGGGGAGAAGTTCCCCGATGAGAACTTCATCCTGAAGCACACAGGCCCTGGCATCCTCTCCATGGCCAACGCTGGCCCCAACACAAATGGTTCCCAGTTCTTCATCTGCACTGCCAAGACTGAATGGTGAGCCGGGGGCTGTGGGAGGATGAGCTTGGGGGTCCGTGGCACTTGGCCCGGTGGGGGCCTGGTGTTGAGGTCCCTGCGTGGGGACAGCAGGTGCTAGCTGTGACCAGTGCTTCTCCTGCAGGTTGGATGGCAAGCATGTTGTCTTCGGCCGTGTCAAGGAGGGCATGAATGTGGTGGAGGCTATGGAGCGCTGTGGCTCCAAAGATGGCAAAACGAGCAAGAAGATCACCATTACTGACTGCGGGCAGCTCTCATAAACCTTCGTCTTAATAAGTGACCATTCCTTCAGCAGCCTGGGTGCTGTGCCCTGCTGCAGCTCACCCTGTCCCACCCCGCTCCTGACTTACTGCTGCGTTTCTACTGGGTCTCAGCCCCGTGTGCACGGTCCAGCCGGGCCGCAGAGTTACCTTTATGAGTCTAAATAAAACGAGTTAAACCACAGTGACCCTCTTCTCTCTGCCTTACTGGGGGTGGGGGGGGAGA